GAAAATCGAGGGATTCAGTTGCCACTCTGTCAAAACCGGCTGGCGGCGCCTGGAAAGAGTATCCGCCAGAACATTCAACCTGCCTGGTAGATGCTTGACACAAATTGTCAACTGCATTTCCTGACATAGAAGCAGAATGCGGATAGCGAGGGCACACAGGGTGTGAGACCTGGTTCCCCCCTGTCTCTCCAGATACGCGACAACCGTAGTGTTGTCCGTAGCCACACAAACCACCTTGGAATGCAGGATCTCCCGAAAAGACTGCAGAGCCAACAGAACAGCCCTCATCTCGAGCACATTGCTGTGCTCCGAGAGCTGTTCCCCAGACCACTCCCCCGACTGGCAACGCCCGTCGAGATAAGCTCCCCACCCTGTCATGGATGCATCCGTGTACAGGGTCATAGTGGGAACCGGCTTGGACAAAGGAACACCTCGGAGAACATTGTCCTGATGAGTCTACCAGCGTGCGTACTCCTTGACCGACTGGTTCAGAGGAAGCAAGGCTTCCCAATCCCTTGAAGAAGGGACCCAGTTAGCAAGGAGAAACATCTGGAGAGGCCTGATGTGAAGTCTCCCTAAGGGGACCACATCGGCCAGGGCGTTGAGATATCCCAGAAAACTGAGAAACCAACGTACCCGGCCGATGAAGGTCAGAGCAAAGCCCAGGCATTCTCGAACTTCTCCATCGATGGAAGGGCGATGCCCTGAACCGTATTGAAACGGTTCCCTAGAAAAACAAAATCCTGAGATGGGGAAACCTCCGACTTTTCTCTGGAAGGAATGAAGCCGACCTTGAGTAAGAGTTTCAGAACCAACCGGGTGACCTGCACCAGAGACTCTCTCACTAGGTGGAGCATGAGGGAGTCGTCAAAATAGATGTGAACATCTATTCCTCGAGAGTGCAGGAATCCCACGAGCACCTGCAGCAGCTTGGTGAAAACCAAAGGTGCAGTCGTGAGCCCGAACGGCATGGCCCGGAACTGAAAGACCTTTCCGTTGCAAGTAAAACGGAGGTACTTCCGTGCCGACTTCTTGATGGGGATGTGGAAGTAGGCGTCCTTCAGATCTACTGAAATCGCCCATATTCCCTCTCTCACGGAGGCGATAATACCCCGAGGAGTCTCCATCTTGAAGTGAGGAGAATCTACGTGCTTGTTGACGCCACGCCCCGGACTTCTTCCGAACCAGAAACATTCTGGAGTAGAACCCGGGAATGCATCCCGACATAGGAACCTCCTCGACCGCGCCCTTGGTAAGCATGGTCCTTACTTCCTCCTGGAGCGCCAGAGCCTTTTCTGGATCCCCCGGTGGAGGAAAAAAGATTGGTTCCGACGCTAAGGGCGGATCCCGCACTACCGGAATTCCTAACCCCTCCTTGATCACAGACAAGGCCCATGCGTCTTCCGTAATTTCCTTCCACTCTGGAAGGAAAGCAGAAAGACGACCCCCACAGGAAGATCTGGTCGAGGCAGATTGAGACCTTGCCAGGCAAGAGAATCGTCTGCTGACCCGAAGCCTAATCCTGCGGGAGAAGGACCTAAGCTTGAGCCGAGAGGACTGCAGTCCTCTTGGCCAAACTCGTCGTCTGACACGACCAAGGAGGGAAGAAGAGAGTCAGGAACTCTTCTGCTTACCCCCAGGAGAGTTCTTACCCTTCTTACCCTTCCATTTGTTGCCATTGAAGGGAGGTTTATGCAGAGGACTGCGAAGCCGAAGGTTTAACCATCTTCTTAGGAGGCGCTGACCCCTGCGAGGTACTGGCCTTCTCAGCCTGAATCCTCTTCCCCAGAAGTGCAGAGGCGGCCGAGTCCTCCTTCACATCCTTCTGAACAGAAGGAAGGGCCCCTCCAAAAAGAGGGGACCCTGAGAAGGGGGCAGTCAACAATCTGGAGCGGTAAGGCTCATCGACCGGGCGGGTTTTCAAAACTGAAAACCGCCTAGCCAACAAGACATTGACGAGCGATGACACCTGTAATGCTGCCAGCGCTCTCAATGCGCCGTTCAGGGCAGAGGTCACTCTGTCCTGGATGTCGGCCTGCTCTGTCTCGGTAATCCGACCCTCAGGCAAGTCGGATACCCTATATAGACAAACCGTCAGGTAGTCTATATAAGACAGAATCTGGATGGAGAGACGCAGCAGTCTCTCCATCTTGTGGGGTTCTTTGGGACCGAACACCACCTGGTCCACCGATTTACCGGGCCAGGCTGCAAGTTCCCTCGATTACAGCTTAGCTGGTTGAGGGGCAAGCAGGCCATCATGTGTGGCATAGTCAGTGACGTGCAGTGACAAATCGCCAACACTGAGCTGCAACCCAGCATGCCCAGGACTACGGGTTGAAGAAGAATTCTTCTCTAAAACCCGAGACTGGGCGGTGGCCAGAGCTGAAGACACAATGGTGCCTTCTGGCAATGAGCGGTCCGACCGAGCGAACACCCGAGGAGCCACTAAAGAACCCAAAAGGGTGATGGACTCGGGGACAGATGACGCCCAAGGTGGTGGGCAAACCTCCTCCCAAAGAATCCGGGAAACGTCAGCCCTAAGGCCCCGCATACCGGACAACACATGCTGGGCCTCAACCTCAGCAGCCTCAGGGTCACCCTCATCCTGGAAGTCCTCCTCTGAGGGCAAGACCTCCTGAGGACCGTCATAAGACGACTCAGATAGACCAGCGTCTATATCCGAGCAACCAGGTGAAAGATGGACAACATCATCGTCCTCTGCCATACCCACGCCCTCAACGTCCATAGCCTCTACACCATCCAGACCAAAAGCCTCGGGTGGAGGAAATGGGCCAGCCAGAGGGGCCAACCCTAGAGAAGGCTCCCCGTACCGGCGTTTAGGTGCAGTGCGCCTAACGGCCGTGGCTGTAGGTTTAGGCTTAGTAGTCAAAACCCTACCCTTGGACCCAGAGACCAACGAGCCTGCCCGAGAGGCAGAAGTCCTAAAGGACCGACACTCCTTCTTAGGACCGGCCGATAACGCCCCCGAAGGGGGGGGGGGGGCAACAGAACTGCTAACACGTCTCCGCGAGGGAGAGACGAAACCCCAAGGATTCCACGACGGAAAAGCCATGGGGTTAAACCCATATCCCGGGGGATAAGGGAAAGGTCCCGCGGGCTAGGAGTGACCCCAGAACTGGCAAAAACTGGCCTGCCTGAGACTGGGGCTCGCCAACTTGCCCAAAGGGCGAAGATGGACGCCACTCCCTCCAGGTGGAAAACCGGACATGTACGGGCTAAGCCCGTAACTGCCGGGATGCTGCCGCAACCCAAAACCATCCGCAGGCTGGTAAGGGCGGCCCAAGGTAGTTGCCCGCAGGCACCCGTATACCCTAAGCCAGGGGAAAACGGAGGCCGGAAACCGGCCCCCTGTCCAGCAAACCCAACACCTGGGGGGAAACCCTTCAGGTTCCCGGAAGAATGAAACTCAGGACCGGACCTTATAGGACCGGGTCCGGGTAACTGACCGGGAGGGTACGCCTGACCAGCATTGGTGCCGGGATTAGTGAGCTGCGCGTCACTAATCCCGGTAGACACAGACAATCCCGAAAGAAAGTCTGTAGTCACACCAGGACCTGAACCCGAAAGAACAGGCCCGGCACCAAGACTGTCCCCAACAACAGCACCACCTGGAATGCCGGGATCACTGACAGAGTCAGTGACCGGCGGCCGGTAGTCCCTACCCGAAGGCAAGCGCGAAAGCTTACGGGCGTTCCCGGCCAATTCGACCCTTGGCTGTGCCAAGCCAGGGTCGGGCTGCCCCTCCTCTACTCCAGGGAGTTCCTGGACAGGAAGAGCCATCCCCTGCTCACGAAAGGGATTCGCCATAGCAAGACCCCCCGAGACAGGAACAGAGACAGTACCACCAGACCCCAGAGAGCTGGTGGCACGACCCCTACCTCTCTGCTTCCCTCGCTTACCGGAAGAAACAGACGAATCTCTCTTTCGGTAAGTTGAGGGTAGCTTTGGAACAATGAAGTCCTTGTCCTGAGATTTAGTCTGTGAGCAAAGTTCACAAGGCGAAACCTCACTGCAAGGACGACACCTGGGACAAGCATTATGAGGGTCCCGTTCCACAAAGAAATGGGAACACCCATGAGCTATACCTCGTCGCTGTCCCGACCGAGACATACCCTCCAAAGCGAACGTAAACAAAAATTTACAAGCAGATAACACGGGAAAAAATAATAAAATACGATAGTACAACGTACGCAACGTAGAAAGAATTTCACCCCGTAATATAAATCAGAAAACGGTTAAAATAAATAACGTTTGCCGAAACAAACAACCGTCACCGAAATAAACAGAGGTCGGAAATTAACTCACGATAATGGCGGACCGTGGCACACCACCGGCACACGTGGAGTAAAATAACCGGCCGTAAAAGGCACAAAAATAATTTTCAACAAAAATTAATTATATTAACAAGGGCAGATGGGTATAAGGCACACAAACTGCGCAAAACATTGAGTTAACACTCAAACCAAACCGACAAAACAAAGTTTTGAAATGGAGCAAGATCCGGGCGTCAGCAGGCAGCAGGCGCCATAAAAGGAAGAGGAAGGGAGATCACTCCGTGGCTCTGTCATCGAGATATGGGTTACGTCACGGTAGGGAGGTAGGGATATTTGAATCTTTTGTTTTTGGGTTACAAAGATGGGTGTAGGTATTGTATATGCATACTAAAGTTATGGTAATTATTACTGAAATGAAAAGGTGTTATGAGAAGATGTGAGAAGTATGAATCAGAATAAAATTGATATATCCAATTAAGTTGGATAATATATTGTGACAAGCAGTAAATTCGAATATTTGTTCTTAGATTTTTCGTGGCCCCAGAAACATAATTTAACGAGAATGTCAATATTCTTCAGAACCGAAATTAAGGCGACGGTCCCTAGTGGTTCTATAGGGTTGCCAGTAAACGTGAACTTATATCAAAGAAATATCAAGATACTTACCACAGTGAATCCTCCCATCCGTTGAAGACCTTTCCCAGCGGTAGGATCCAAATATTATCCTGATTAGAGGGGTTCCGCATGACATCCGAGTAGCTTCGGAACATTGATCATGATTAAAACAGCATCTGTCAAAAGAAAAATACTTTATCTGCATTCTGGTCAAATTTGCTACTGTATTTTTTATATGTATTTATACTAAGTTGGAAATCATTGTAACGTTATAATGTTCAGAAATATATTGTAAGCTCTAAAAGGTTGACATAAGATTCCAAACATGCTCAAAGCAGAAAATGATACAATCGAGGAGATCTTTTTAACTAAATTAATTTGCTTGATCAAATCAATCATATTTGTACATAGAAATAAAATGAACCAAAAACATTTATTTAGAAACTTTGGTTTGCAAGAAAAGCTTTAACATAGTTATCAATGAAACGAAATTTTATATATAGCATCATGTCTAGCTAGAATATGTCAATTCTTACAATAATTCAATACAAATGAAAACTTCACCGGGGCTACCTCGTCCGGCGCTTACTACTTGTTTTGTTAAATACATCTACATTGATGCATGCAAAATATGCTACAACGTTCGAGCAGGCATGCATCCATCTAATGACTACGCTTGACATTACTGGACTCGTGAGCGCGTCACAGGGCTATATCGCATCGTTAGACAAGAGGCCCATGGGCCTTAACGGTCACCTGAGTCTATAGTATTTATTTTTGTTGTTGAAATATGTACCAATTTGAGTAAAAAATAGTATAATGTTAACTTAACTTTGTCAGGACCATGAGCTGATCATTCCTAGACCAATTTTAAGTGAGATCGGCCTATTAGAACTTAGTAGCAAAATAGCGGCCATGGCAGCCAAATTGTATTTCTGATTGACCCGAAAAATAACAACACTTTGTCAGGACCATGAGGCGATCATTCCTACCAACTTTCAGTTCAATCGGTCCAGCAGAACTTGACTTTAAGTTTGAAATAGGTTTTCAAAATGGCGGCCGTGGCGGCCATATTGGATTTCTGATCGACCCGAAAAATAACAACACTTTGTCAGGACCATGAGGCGATCATTCCTACCAACTTTCAGTTCAATCGGTCCAGCAGAACTTGACTTTAAGTTTGAAATAGGTTTTCAAAATGGCGGCCGTGGCGGCCATATTGGATTTCTGATCGACCCGAAAAATAACAACACTTTGTCAGGACCATGAGGCGATCATTCCTACCAACTTTCAGTTCAATCGGCCCAGCAGAACTTGACTTTAAGTTTGAAATGTAAAATGTTAACGGACGACGGACGACGGACGACGGACGACGACGGACGAAAACGGATAGCAATAGGTCACTTGAGCTAAAGCTCAGGTGACCTAAAAAGCCAGCCAGCTTGTCAATAAGGTAGTAAAAAAAAAATCACGTATTTTGTATTTGAGAAACATGCACAATTTCTTTAACACATTTCGTGTGATTCATATTACAAGTGACAAGAAGGCAGGTGTTTAATTGGTCAGTTTTTCATAAATGACGTCATAGAACAAGTAACAATGCTTTGCGGCGTCAGCTGCCATTGTGACGTCAGGGTTTAAGGCGATTGTTCCCCCCACCGAAAACAAGGTTCAAATAAAAGAAATATATTTTTCCAGATTTTGTTTTAACAATATAGGGGGAGATAACTACGTTGTTGTTGGTGATTATGAGTATCTAACTCTCAGAAGTTAATTTTCCACATCGTTAAATAATACTCGGTAAACTTTGTGTCTTTAAAAAAATTAAAAAATATGTTAATTCAGTTGGGTTAACTGGATAACTAACTACCACGCGTTTGAGAAATGTTATATCTATAGATTACGCAATACGTGTCTTTGATAACCAACTTACAAAAGTATTAACACTAGCTTATTACGTTAAACCTTTTCTCTTGTTTATGATAGTATTATGTATCCAATATGTGAACCTGTCATGCGAAGGCAGTGTTTAACATACAATACACATAGAAATACCTATGACTCTTGGTTTTGTATTGCCGCCATATATATACTAGTATATTTATTCTTGTCAATGTAATGCTTAACACACCGTCTCTTTATATATCACACTGACTACTCCTTTGAATCAATCACTCAAATGACTACGATGTCACGTGACTGCGCCTTCTCCCTTCCTTCAGTATCGTGTGATTGACAACAAACACGCAAAAACAAATTATCACTGAACTATTTGAATTCATCAACTTTTAATCACGTGTCTAACTTGGAATTATAAAAATATGAAAAAAACTTGAACTTATTTTATCGTGCTAGTTTTAAACACCGTGATTAACGCACACATTTATCCTGAAGGGCTTATCACAGCTCCACTTGTGATATCAAAACACTAGAACAAAAGTGTTTATCTCGTAGTATTCCTTTCTACTGCATACAGGTACTATATTGTCTTGTTAAATCAATGTTATTTTGCCTAAATTGATGCATAGACAGTTATAGGGTGCGTTTCTATTTAGGGAATAATATTATCTTCATTGATGTTGCTGAAAGGGATTTATAAAACAAACATCGTGACCTGCAGGGTAGTGACTACGGTTTTCCTGTTTCATAAACAAGAAGTTGGACCTTCGAATCCTCATAACAGAGATATTTTTAGTGCAAAAGGATAAAATTTTAACAAATTCTAATTTTGACGAATACCGTTACAAAAGTCGCAAGTCTGCCCCTGTAGTCACAAATGATGCATTTGGAAGAAATTGCAAATTTTAAATTGGAGCAAAATCAGATATAGAGAGGGACCGTTGGCTTCACCTTGGCGTCCCCCCATAAACGTGTTACATAATTATAGGCCAGGGCGGCCATGTCTGATGGCCAATCGGAAAAAATATAAATGTATTTGCCTACCTATTTCCATGTGAATTTCAGGAATCCGGCTAGTAGTTTTGGAGAAAAAATTCCGGAAACCATTTGACAGAAGAAAATATATTATAATAAAGAAGAAGAAGAAGAAGAAGAAGAAGAAGAAGAAGAAGAAGAAGAAGAAGAAGAAGAAGAAGAAACGCAACAAAAAGAAACAAAAATTCCCCCACTTTGGGGGGAAGAAATGAATATATTTCCTTGCTATAGTAAACGACAACAAACTGAGATTCTTTTTTTAAAGGAGATACAGCACAGAGCGTCTAAACAATTACTGTGGCCGTGGAATCATATTTTATACTTACTGGTCCACGGTGTCCATCACCGGTCCATTATTGCGTAGAGGGCCACAATAGTTTCCGTAATGAATGAGGCGGAGACACATAAGGTGATTAGTTTGTGATGCGACCATGGAGCATAGACTCAAAAGACTACGTTTGTGGCGACTGTGTTTGATTTCATCTGAGAAATAAAACCATTTTCAATAACTTGCATTAAGCTAGACAATACAATATCAGCATAACATTTGAGAAAGAAACGATGCCAATAAGATCATAATGGAGGGAGCTATATGAGGCAGTTAGGCCTTGTTCTAAATATGTTACATATATTTTCTTTATTTGAATGTTTTAAGTCTATTTTATTCTACTTTTTTTCTATCCGCTCATTTATTTATTCATTCTTCCATTCATTTTCTTGGATTTTAATTATGTCGTTCATCAGGGAGTTCAAATCCTTTATGTATTTTGAAGTTAATATGTAAACCGGTTATTTTTTAAACTTTGTAAAATAAAATGACCATCACATATGAAAATACATTCTGTAACATTTAAATAGCTGATGTATAATTACTTTTATCACAAATAAGGACAAATTTGAGAAAAGTGACGACAATATTTTCAATTGAAAAACACTTTTCGAAACCTTTTAAAATCTTAACACAATGCTCTCATCATGAAAATAACATCTTGAAACAAAGTGCATTAAGTGTTCAAGTACCACAGCCAAAAACTGAATGTCCCACGGAATTTATGTAAAAGCAAAAATGGATTATGAAAAAAACCCACTGTTGTCTGTTAAATAAAACGAGACTAGACCGGGATTCGAACCCGGACCACTGATCACAATACAGGGCACGTACCAACTGACCTACTTGATCAAAAGATTGTTTTCCGGTCAAGTCCCACTGCACTTATATCCAAAATGTAATATCAAAGTTTTACTTAATACACAAAAAATTACGTATTAAACGTGTCGAAACAATTCAGGACCGACTGGTCCTTTTCGAACTGACACATTTCCAAACTGATGAATCTTATTGAAGATATCCTAAATGTAATTAATATTAGTAATGGGTTTTGTTTCTGCAGTGGGGCAGTCATCCTTAAAGAAAGCAAAACGATTACAAGTCGTGTGTGGATGTTAACATTATAACTATTTGACTTTATTAATTCACCCCTGAAATTCCATAATGAACTAATCCTACCTTTGAATTGGAAGAATTCAAACGTGTTCTCGGGGTGAATGAGTTAAGGTCTTTAATTATTTACAGCTGGATTAACACGAATGGAGAAATGCGTATTCGGTAGGACAATATGATTAATTTATTTAAGGTCTTAAGTAATGATGATCTCTAAAATACACACACACAAAATACATTAAGAGTTAGGAGATTATAGTGATGTTGATACAAACAAAACAAGAGGATTGATAATCCCTCAAACTGCTTGTAGGCGATGCCGAATTTCTGTTACCTTTGCTTGCTGTTACGAGTCCGAAGAACAAAACCAATAAGAGAAAGGGTGACATATTCGTAATATCTGCAACAAAGAAATTAAAATGGCAATGTAAAAATAAACAAAGGGTGAATAAAACATATATAAATATACATCAAATCATGTACACCTGAGGAAAAAGTTCGATGTAAAAAGGGCGAGTTCGATGTCTAAAGGAGAAGCGTCTTCGTCTCCATCAAACACATCTGTCATGTAAATCTTTGTCAAATAAAGGTAAAATCACGTCCACAAAGTGAGAGCCGATGAAGAAACTGATTTGCTATATGAAATTCAAATTTTAGTGACAGTGACCTTTTCCTTTGGCTAAACATACTCTAAAAACAACAGAATTCTTCTTCATTGCTTGGGTAACTAGCATTCTAAGTATTCGTTTTAAGATATCATTTGTTCTGAATACTATACAAAAGTAGCCCAAAACTTGTAATTCTAACTCAAATTCGATAAAACTAGGGCAAAATATGAACAATATAAAAATGATTTACAGAGAAACTAGAAATCTCTCAAATAAGATTATTATACTTATCAAATAACCAAAACTTGTTGCAATATTATAGACCTGAGGGCATCAAACCTGGTTATATCCAGTTTCGATCACTGGGAAAAAACATTCGAATCCTCAGTAATAAAAGTACTAAATAAATGAAGTTAAAAACCAGTTAACCTCCAAAAAAGATAACAAAATTGTCAAATTCGAAAGTCAGAAGTATCATATCGTTTTTATCAACATTTTCAACGTGGGAAAGTCTTCTTAAGAAAAATATTCGGTGTATGAACACTAGAAGACATAAGCAGGTAAAACAAGTATAAAATACTTTTTCTGCAATAAGGAAAAAGTGTGACTTTAGCTCTACTTACTCTGCAGGAGTGAAGCCAGTCCCTTGTCCAAGTGCCAATATTGTATATGTCTATACATCAGTCTGATAAGCTACTTTATAGGATGAAAACGAAATTAAAAACCTTGAATGATTACTGTGCAAAAATGCTTATTAACAAATTGTATTATCATGATGCAGTTCACATTGCTTAGCGTTCAAGGTTTTCATGTACTGGTTTACGTATTTGTTCTTTTATCTGTGCATATATTATTCCGACTTTTATTATCGGCTAATATATCTCCGTCACATATATGCACACGCTATGATTATATGAATAAAAGAGACAGTAATTTTGCAGCTATTACTCAAGGTGTTCCCACAGATTTTTTAATGTATATTCATTTCTATTTTCTGATGCAATTAATTTATCAGATTCGACTGAGAAATGAGAGAAAACTTAAGACCGAAAAAAACCGTAATTTGAACACAAAATCAATGACACTAAGAAGAATATTTTGCACACACATTTTTGAAAAGAAATCTTAATGACTCTGTTTCTGTATTTGAAGTTCAAAACTAGTGACAACTGTCTAGATTCATAAATACCTATCTTGCAAAATGACTTTTTTGGTTGGTTAAGTGGCATATTGGAGTGTCACAGCGCCAAGAAGTTGACAACCGGAAGTTTACAAGCAAACCCGATGACCCAAAACAGAATCGCCCCAAATCAGCACAGAGACATAGAAATATATCAAAAGTATACATTTTTCAAAAGTTAAATACCTGAACATTTCATTTGTCTAAAAATCTTTCATCAGTTCCTTATCAAACTCCTTCAGTGGCCCAGTAATTAGCCGGAACTTATTTCAGATAGGAAATACAAACGTATGAAACACTTGCTGATTGGCTGATTTAGTTGTGTGAGTCCTTTAAAAAAATATTAGTTTTACACTATAAATAGACCAAGTCACAGCTATGTGTAGATACTATTAATTCGGCTGCTATCGGAAACCGCTTTATAAATTTTGGATTTATTGCTATAGGAAGATTTGTTTAGTTACGTGTAGATACCCTTAATGAGTCGGTAAGTGGTTAACTAACACTTATGTAAAATAAACAGATAACGTCAATAAAATATAACATAAAATTATAGAATAATTGCAGAGATATTGTTTGTCTTGGGCCAACACTTATTATTGATAGGTATTGTTGAAATGGCGTGCGGCGGCCATCTTGCAAAAACCGGAAGTGAATCCTTTGAAAGATGCCCCCATATCTAGAGTTAAATAATACCTCTACTATAATGTTTATACACAAGTTGATGCTTTTATCACAAAGTACAGCTTTTTTCTCTAGTCCACTGCGTTATTTATACTTAAGTCTTAGGACTCTTTGTTGTATAGCGAAAAGAAGAACAGTTGCAATTTTGTTATTTTTTTTTTCTATTCTGGTGTTAGATTTCCATTTTAATATTATCCTGTGTGTTCCATATCAAATTTTATACTACATTGTATATGTGTGTACATCACCACTGTTCTTTTAAACATTAAGAAAAAAAATTAGGTTAAAACACAAAGCTTTTGTAATTTTAGCAAGAAGTACTTAAAGTATTCGACATCATTTTTGTGGCATTCGTTGACAGTTATATCGTGTTAAAGTATTTATTATTCAGTGAGTGCTGGAATTTTGATAAAAAGTATAATTTGTGTCGCGTCAGTATTAAAATCAAATTAATAAGTCTTATTATATTATAGTTATCTGTATATAAATTACTGTGCGTCATAATGAATATCTTCCTGGTTATTGTTTAAAATTGATAAGTATATAAAAAAACACCATGTTACATATATTCATCGTATAACCAGATGAAATAATTACAGTGCCCTATAATTTGGTTCCTTGCAGTACATTTTATCACTAAATGCATTTGAAGACAATGGTACTTTGAAACAGGCGAACAGAATTAATTAGTTTCATCAACGGTTCAGCTATATAATGAAAGAATACAATGATATACAAATGAAACATTATCAGTAACACGAATTTATCTAGAATTGAAAATTAAACAATGATAGAAAGGAGAAGCGAGTAATGAACAAACTCAACTGTAACATTACGATCTCCTCAATGTCATTACATACAGTGTATGTGACAATCACGTGTAATATATCACAATTGATTTATTGATGATTCTTCATATCCTGAATAAATCATGCAAAGGACATTTCCTTTCCTTTTAAAAACGACCATATGAACTTTACAATAATACATTATGAAGTATGTTAGTGACAGGTAACAGTCGGAATAAATCTGGGTATAAAGTGTATTTCATGTGGTATTCATTAATTCCGGTCCTACTACATGAATATTTTTTTCAGTTTGTAAAAATTGATGAACGCCATCAATCATGTAAAATTTTCTTAAATGAATCATAAGGGTTACAATGCTGAATACAGAAGAGGACCCAACTGTATCTACCTACATTAAGTACACATTTGACAAGGTTTCCATGTTCTTTTCATATCAAATAGCGGAAATGTTCATGTTTTTTCTGGTGGTGATCATTTATCTTCCAGAACGTTTATGTTAAAACTTAAGAGTTAAAATATCAAAAGAGTTTAAATTTAACCTTTAGGGGCAAAAGTGAAAGATATTGTTACAAAACATTTGAAATAATTATGTTTTGATTATATGTGAGTATTTTATGATTTTGAGATTGATGGCAGTTCTTCCAAAATACAACAAACTACACATTTTAAGATGGGACTTATTTTATTTGAATTCTGTCGGGAATATGAAGATATACCTGTTCTTGTTTAACCACGCACTCGTTTAAACTCAAATATTGAAAATTGTGATAAAAAACGTATTGCATTTACAAGTTGTTTCTTTCTCCATATTTCAACAAAAAAAGTATCCTGAAAGAGAGTATTTGAAGATGTTTCATTTGTATGTTTAAATACATTTCCTTATTTAAATACACTTCATGGTTCTTACGTTAGATATACTAAGCAAGAAAAAGCATGCTTTATAATTTAGAAATCACTGAATATTCATAACCTGCCCTACATTTCTTATTTAATGAACGGCTAGATAACTAATTCATCGAATCACGTGTTTTTTTCACGTGTGTCCTACATAGTCAACTTCATGGGCCTCGTTTGTCAGATGGAAAAAGATGTATACGTCTAACAAGAAAAGCAATAAACCAAAGAGCTAAACCATGCGGATCGATATGGATGCTTTTCATAATGGTAGCTATAATGACAGCTTAAATTGTGTAAGCTGATTGAAATAACAAGCATTGTAATCGATCACTCTTAACTATGTATCCTTTAACGTGACATACGTATGTCACTGTTACTGCTTAGTCATATATTTATGATACGTACGTATACATACATAATGAAGTCTGTACAGGGAAGCTACTTTTAACTCATAGAATATCTTGAAATAGATGTCAGCTGATAAATTAATTTTCCTACGACAATCGCACAAATTTCAAGATTTTTCTCTTTTCTAAGATAAGTTCAGACTAGGTCGATATACCTATAAATAGAAGTTTTGGTTCTATTTTGTTTAACGTCTAATGTCATTTAAGAAGAAAGTATAACGAAAACATATCATTTCTGGCTATGTTACATTCCTTATTACATGTGCAAACCATTTTGTTAGTGTGAGTTTCAACTTCAGCTTCCCTACAAAGTTGATTTCCTTGACATGCGCAATAATGATATCCGGTAGCGTCAGTGGTGCTTACAACTACAGCCAGCTTAACATATGACGAACACACAGTTACAGTGCTGGTTCATCCAAGGGAGCTGTTAAAATAACGATGTATTAGTTACACAGGAAGGTTTTTATTTCGAAACCTCAACGGTAATCTTCGATTGATCTTTTATTGATATTTCACTTTATTATTTACACATTTTTCTTGTATCAAAAGAAATTTTGAAATTTCCCTAATCACCATACATTGATAAAACAACTACAAAGGATAACGTTAATTCGTTACTCTGCCTTGCTGAAACTAACAACCACAGGTGACAATAGCTAGCCTTCAACTTTGCTATAACATATTTAAGGAGTGTAGAGAGAGAAAGTGAGCGTAAACCATGGAGTATCGAGGACGAAATAGAGTTAGTTTAACACTATGTGCGAAAACACGTGTCCCATATAGGTAACTGTGATTTGTGTATACAGTGAATAAATAAATGTTGGTTTATGAGGAATTTTGAATTGTATTTGAAGTAATTAAAAAGATAAAATCTATATTTTTTTTTGTTTTTGATTTTTATTCACACATTTACATTTACCATCTCATGGCCTTGCTACTATCTATAATATAACTTTACCAAATTCAGTTGCATTCATATAGGTTATGAATGCCACGGACCTATTGTTGACGTCATTTCATTTCAAACAATTCACATTAAATCAATCAGAATTAATGGTAATCGGACAACAGGCAGGCCTATAAAAGCCCTCTCCCTGGAGGTACAACATAGGAGGGCAGTGAGGCTACAGAAAGGACGTGTTTCCGGACGTGTGACCGCAGTAGCTGCGACAGCCTCTCGACATCGAAGGAGCTGTCAGACCTTAGAGCGTGACCTGGATGGGCAGGCCATTTTGAATCTCCGAGGGCCCGGTAAGCTGGCGTTTACCCCCTCAAGACGACCGAACACAGACTTTGTCAGTGAGGTGTAGTCTATAAACCCATCAACCAACCAAACCAACCAACCAAGGTGTATCTGTATTGAACTGCTTTCAGTTGGCATTCATAGGCAATATGAATTTTAACTGGACAAAGGCATTCCAACATGAAGCGCTAACGCACTTTATTAAATTTGCCTTTGTCCAGTTGGCATTCATATTGCCTATAAATGCCAACTGAAAGCAGTTTATTGCTTAAACGTAAGGGAGAAAAAGAATAAACCGCTTCTCAAGATATCTTAAAAAAGATTTTTTCGTATGGTTAAAAAAGTCCTCATAATATATACAGAATTTCAAGGTAAATTCTTCAGATCTTTATTATGCAGTTAAGCTACGTGT